TTCTCTTTATGTGGAATGCACTGGGAGGGTGGTTACCCTTAGCGGACTGCCACCCACCACCTAATCTCGGCGCAAATGCGCGGGGACTCTCCTTCTCCTCCGTCCCCCTGCTCCTCCTCTCCGCTGTGTTCCCGGGAGGTCCGCCTCCCCCCTTCGAACGCGTTCCGCCTCCTCCTTCTGCGACATCACATGTTCGCAGAAGGAGGAGAACGCCCTCCATTCCGGTTCGCCCCTCGTGATCGCACTCACCACCTCTCTGAGGGAGAGATCATCCCCCACTGCTTCCTTCAATGCTCTTCTCGGGGCCTCCCAGGCCGGGCATTCCTCTAACGTGTGGGCCGGCGAGTCCTCCGCCGCCCCACAATGGTGACAGACAGGCGTCCGCTCCTTCTTGATACGACACAGGTACCGTCCAAAGCACCCGTGCCCGGACAGCACCTGTGTCGTACGATATGACGCCCTCGCCCACGTTCGGTCGAGCCAGGCGTCCAGATTTGGGAGGATGGCTTGTACGGTTCTCTGTCCCGCGGTGTCCGGCCTTGCTAGTCGGGCCCTCCATCTCTCCCTCAGATCCTCCTTCTCTTGGAGGTTAACTCTCCTCCTAATCCGTCCCGTCACCGGGACCCCTTCCTCCTTCATTTGAGCGATTCGCTCGTACGCCCTTGTGTAGGCCTCTGCAAGGAGGTCTGCCGGGGGGATTCCCGCCAGCACCGTCGCAGCCGCGTGCGAAACTGTGCGGTAGCTCCGCGTCACCCTGACGGCCATTCTTCTTTGCGCCTGTAGAAGAGTCGCCAGTGCCCTTCTGTTTCCAGACACCGCCCCCGACCAAACCGGTGCCCCGTAAAGCATGACGGAGTGCACCACGTTCGCATACAATTTTCTTACGCGTCCGCTGGGGCCCCCCAGATTGGGCATCAGGCGTGACAATGAATTTGCCACCATTCCCAATCTGGGAGCCAATCTGCGGACATGCTCCACGAACGCCCATCTTTCGTCGATGTGGAGGCCCAGATATTTGATCTGGGTCCCCACATCGACTCTTGTATCGTCTATCATAAGGCGTGCCCTCGGGGACGGTCCATGCGACCCGTCATGCATGAACGTGGCCTCCGTTTTACTGGCTGCCACGCTCAGGCCCAGCGCCCCAATCGCACGCACCGCGCATGCTACGGCCATATTTGCCGTTTGCACAGCGTCTTCCCAGTCCCGCCCCCCGGCTAACACCAATGTATCATCTGCATAACAGATCATGGTGCAGCCGGAGGGCAGGGCGGCCCGGAGGACCTCGTCGTATGCAACGTCCCACAGGACTGGTCCTAGGACCGAGCCCTGCGGGACGCCGCTCTCCGCGCTCCACGTTCTTCTGGATGCGCTCTTGTCTGTACAGGATATCATCCTGTTTTCCAGGTACTTGTTGATTGTCCTGCGCAAGTACACCGGTACCCCTTTATTTACTAGGGCTCTTCTTATCGCTTGGTGGGGGAGGGAGTTAAAGGCATTTGATATGTCAAGTGCCACCGCCATGACAACTCCCCTCCCCCCCCCTCTATTAGCGCATCCACGTGCGCCCTGACACACCGTATTGCGTCTACGGTGGACCTCGCTTTACGGAAGCCGTATTGGAAGCGTGTGTGTAGTCCTTCTCCGTCACCGTTCTCCAAACCACACACTAGGCGCGAGGTGAGCACCCTCTCCAGCATTTTGCCCACTTCGTCGATCAGACAAACGGGCCGGTAGCTGGAGGGAAGCTCCGCCGGCTTGCCCTCTTTTGGAAGGAGGACTAACTTGGCCTCCCTCCAAATCTGTGGAAAGTATCCCCTCTTGAGACAGGCGGTCATGATCGAGGTCAGCCTTTCCATCACTTCCCCCGTCGCCGCTCTCCATGCCTCCCCTGGTATCCCATCCGGGCCAGGGGCTTTTCCCGCCTTCATCTTTTTCGCCGCATTGGCGATTTCTTCGCTCGTGACGCAAAGATCCTCTCGCCAGTCCTCTTCGGTCGCGTCGTCGCTGGCCCGGGTTTCCTCTTCCGCTGCCGGGTCCGGTCCGTTGCCCCCCGCTGTTGGGAACAGCGTGCGGACTACGTCATCCAAGAATTCCGGTTCCAGCGACTCGGCCGTCGGGGGTGCGCCCCTACTCAGTCTATCTAGGACCAATTTGTAGGGACGCCCCCAAGGGTCCTCTTCCAGACTGCGAATCGCCTCCTCCCACGCCTTTTCTTTCGCTTTCAGGATTGCCGTCTTCAGGCTCTTCCTTTTTTCCCTCCATTGTTCAAGGAGGGCTTCCAGTGTTTGTTGATTCACCACTGAGCGTCTCCTTTCCCTCTGGACTCTTCTTCTCGCACGGATGACTTCTGTGCGGAGGTCCCCTATCTCTTCCGTCCACCAGTACGTAGCTCTTCGGGCGGAGAATGTCGCTCGCGGCATGGCCTGATCGCAGGCTCGGGTCATTGCAGCCCTTAGCCACCTGGCTTCCTCCTCTATGTCCCTCTCAAGAGACGCAAGCGTCGGCAGTGTCCTCGGGATCCACATCTCCACCGCCAGGGACGCCTGTAGCCTATCTGGGTCCAACTTCTTAGTCGCCCATCTGAGCGGCCTCTCCCGACTGCCCAGTCCGTCTCTTCGTGGAGGAGTGAATCGGGCCTCCATCTCCAGCATGAGGTGGTCCGAGAGGATATCCACGTCCTCTGCCACTCTCCATGCCGTAATAACTCTCGCGGCCGCAGGGGAGACCCAGGTGATATCCACCACCGACTCACCCTGCGGCCTCACGCACGTACTCGCCGTGCCTGAGTTCAAGAGGTGGAGGCCCAGGCGGTCCGCCCATGCCTCCACCTCCGCACCCTTGGCGTCCGGCCGCCGGGAACCCCAGAGCGCCGACTTGGCGTTGAAGTCCCCGGCGACCAGTATTGGCCTTGGCAGGGACGCGTTGATCCGCGTCTCCAGATCTTCCAGCCGATCCTCTAGCTCGGCGCGGGACAGGCTGGGTCTGAAGTAGACCCCTATTACCAATAGGGGACCCCATTCTACCATGACCCAGCCCGGTCCCTCGCCTCTCTTGCAACACGGCACATGTTGCTCCATCGTGCGCCTCCAATGTATTGCTGCCGACCGTTCCGCGTTTGTCGCCCAACACGGGTGACGATCCGGAACTTTCCAGGGCTCTGCTATTATTGCTAGGCCCGCTCCACGTTCCGCCATGGCTTGCAAGATCAAGTCTTGGGCCCGGCGGGCGTGGTTGATGTTCGCCTGAACAACTTTTATGGGCATGAAGGCGATGCCGCGCTGGCCTCCTCCTGGCCCTCTCCCTCTAGTTGCTGGCTAGTCCCAGCCCTTGATTGCCTTTTCTCTAGCGGGGCGGTGGTTCTCCTCTCCGCTGTGGGGGCATCCACCTCCATCGCGTCTGAGTTCGTGGGTTGTCCCCCAGCCTGGCTCCGCGGGGTCTGCGAAGTTGCCAGCTGTCCTCCTTCCTCACGCCTTCTCTTCTTGATGGCCTTCTTGGACGGCAAAGGACATGCCTTATTGCCGGCCTTGTGGTTTGCCGGCAATCCCCTCTCCGTGCACGCCGGGCACTTGGGCTCGGCGCGGCACGTTTGGGCTTTGTGCCCGGTTTCCCCGCACCTGCAGCAAACTTCGCTCCTGTCTTTGCCACGGCACTGGGCCCTGACGTGGCCCCTCTCAAGACATCTAAAACAAATTAGAGGCCTACTCTCCAGCAGCTCTAGTCTTGCTTTTACCCATCCGATTTTAATCCTGCCCGCCGCGGCAGCCTTTTTTGCTGCCGCCAACGGGCACTGGACCCAGATGGTCCCAAGTCCATTGGGGGCGGGCTTAACTTCTCCCGTCCTTACTTCAGAGGGGGCACATCCTCCTGCTTCCGCAATTGCTTCCGTTACGTCCGTCACCGTGACGGAATCATCCAGGTCACGGATCCTGATTTCTGCCATTTTGGCAGGGCGCGTGACTTTGACGCCTTCTCTATCTCCAATGACCGTTCTCATTTTCCCGGCCAAGGCATCCGCCTTCTCCTTGGCATTCTCACCCGCTATCTCGAGGATGATAGCCCCTGTTTGGGCTCTCCTGGGTTTTAAAGCGTCTATCCCCAGCTCCTCGAGATTAATTTGCGACTTAATGAGTCGCATCCCCTCTGCATATGTTCCCGGTGGGCAGGTTAATGTGACTGCCTGCGTCCTCGGGTTCCGTTGGCC